AAGGGGTTGGTTAAATAAATTATAGTATATTCATGCAATGGAATAGTACATAGCCATAATCAGCAATGTCTCTCTACATCAAAGTGGATTGGAAGGCAAGTTTCAGTGCAGTGAAAACAGTTGGTGTCTTTTATAAAATTATTTCTCCTACCTATAAAGGAAGTTCAGAGGTAGGAAGCCCTAGGCAGCCTTGGAGTTTCCATGGCTGTCAGAAATCCAAGTTTCTTCCATTTTGCTACTTACCTTTGTTTAGCATGTCTTCTCATGTTCTAAAATGACAGCTCAAGCTTCAGCCATCTCACTCAGAATTTAAGCAGCAGGATGGAGAAGGGAGGAAAAAGAGGAATAGCATTCATTTCCCAAGAGATTTCCCCCAAAGTCCCATCTGTTCTTTAATGTATATCTCATTGGTCAGAACTGTATGCATATCCCCACCTAGCTGCAAAGGAGGCTGGGAAATATCATCTTTTGGCTACCTTGTGCTCAGCAAAAAACAGGCTCTGTGTATCTGAGAGAGAAGGAAGAATGGATAGTGGTCAGCAATTAGCAGCCTCTGCCTAGAGTAAAACTTACAGAGTCAGACTGGAGAAAAGATGGGACTACAGAACAGTCTCCAGAGGATGAAATGAGGTAGAAAAGGGGGAGGGGGGAAGAAAAGAAAAGAAGTAGATACCCCCCTCTTATATTAAAGAAAAAGATAGCATCACAAATGAGTTTCTATTTAGGAATGGTAATCAATGTCTAATTAGTACAGTGCTTAAGATTAATACAAACAGAAGGTTTTTTCTTAAAGATTTCGAAGTGAAAACATATTTCTTCTCTCTATAATGTGTGCATTGTTTATTAAATGCTGTGAACCACTGTTTGAATTACATAGTTATTTTAATCATGGTTATAATAAAAATTAGTAGTGGTTAAAAAATTGGATCCTGGGGAGAGAAGTGGGAGGGAAGAGGAAATGGTTATGAAAGGACAACAGGAGGGATCTTTGAGGTGATGGAACTGCTCTGTGGTGGTGGACACATGAAACACACATATGATAAAATTGCATAGAACTAAATACAGGCACACACGAATGCATAAAAGTAAAACTGAGAAAATGTGAAGATGGATGGATTGTATCAATGCTAATATTCTGATTGTGTGTACTACAATTTTACCAGGTTTTACCCTTAGAAGGTACACAGGATCTCTCTGTATTATGTCTTACAACTTCATGTGAATCTACACTTATCTCAAAATTAAAATTTTTTTAAAGTATCAGTTGATGAAAATGATACAACAATATTCATAGCTAATTTTTTTAAAAGGAAAAAATTTTAGAAGCTTGCCTTTTTACTCTCTTGATGTCTTTTTATTAAGAGAAGTTCTTGGGGTGCCTGGGTGGCTTAGTCAGTGAAGCGCCCAACTCTTGATCTCAGTTCAGGTCCTGATCTCGGGGTCGTGAGTTCAAGCCCCATGTTGGGCTCCATGCTGGGTGTGGCGCCTACCTAAAAAAAAGTTCTCAATTTTAATGAGATATATTTAATCAATCTTTTTATGATCAGTTATTTTTCTGCCCAGCTTTTTTAAAAAAGATTTATTTATTTATTTGAGAGAGAGAGAAGTAGCGTAGACGAGCAGTGGGAGGGGCAGCGGGAGGGAGAGAATGTCAAGTGGACTCCCCACTGAGCAGGGAACCTGAGGTAGGGCTCCATCTCAGGACCCTGAGATCATGACTGAGCTGAAATCAAGGGTTGGCTGCTTAACCAACTGAGCCACCCAGGTGCCCCTTCTTCTGTCCAGTTTAAGAAATATTTGCCTACCCCAAGATCATAAGAATATTCTCCGATGTTATCTTGTAGCAGTTTTATTGTTTTACTGTCTACAGTCCATATGAAATTAACGTTTGGGTATGTATAGCTAGGAGTCAAGATACACTGTTGTCTGTATGAATATCCAATTGATATCCAGCACAACTTACTGACAAGATTACCCTTCCCTCACTGCACTGTAGTATCATTTTTGTCATAGATCAAGTGACCACATATGTGTAGGTCTGTTTCTGGACTCCGTTCTTTTCCATTGGTCTATCTGTCTATCTTACAGCCAAAGCCATACCATTTTGTTCTAGTAATTATTTAATCTTAATAATAAGAGGTAATATATAGTAGGAACAGGCCCTCCAACTTTGTTCTTCTTCAAGATTCTCTTGGCTATTCTTGGTCTTTTGCAATTACATATGACATTTGAAATCAGCTTCTCCATTTTTACCAAAAAATGCTGGGATTTTTACTAGGACTGCAATGAATCTATACATCAATTTGGGAAGAACTGACATGTTTTCACTCATAAGTCTTCCTAGCCATTAATTTTGTGCAGCTCTCCATTTATTTAGGTTTTATTTAATTTCCTCTCAGAAATCATATACAGCTTGATATGCAGAGATCTTGCACTATCATAGATTTATTCCTAGGTATTTAATTTTTTATTATAAATTTTACCATCTAAAACTTTAGGTGATATTTATAATACAATTGAGTTTATATATTGACGCTGTGTTTATCTTTCTCATTGCTCTTATTCCTGCATTTCTGTGCTTCCATCTGGGATCATTTTCCCTTTAGCCTGAATAACTCCCTTTAGCAATTCTTTGTGTGGGTTTGTTGGTGGTGATCTTCTTTCTCAATGCTTGTTTTCTAAACACATTTTTATCTTATCTTCATTTCTGAAGGATATTTTGCTAGGTATAGAATTATAGTGTAACTTCTTCTAAGACCTTACTCAACTTTTTATGGTTTTCTTCATTTCTTTTTTTTTTTTAAGATTGTATTTATTTATTTGAGATACAGTGAGAACAAGCGAGCAAGCATGAGCAGGGGGAGTAGCAAAGGAAGAGGGAGAAGCAGGCTCTCCACTGAGCAAGGAGCCCAACGCGGGGCTTGATCCCAGGACCCTGGGATCAGGACCTGAACCCAAGGCAGATGCTTAACAGACTGAGCCCCCCAGGCGCCCTGGCTTTCCTCATTTCTGTTAAAAGGTCAAGTTCAATGGGGTGTTTAGTTGGTTCAGTGTCTGCCTTCAGCTCAGGTCATTATCTTGGGGTCCTGGGATCAAGTCCCGCGTCGGGCTCCATGCTCAGCGGAGAGTCTGCTTCTCCCTCTCCTTCTCCCTCTGCCCCTTCCCCCGCTCATGCTCTCTCTCTCTCTCAAATAAATAAAATCTTAAAAAAAAAAAGTTCAAGTCTTATTATTCTCTGTTTAAGGTAATGTCTTTTAACATATATTTTTTGTGGATTTTCTCTTTTTCATTCTGCCTTGAGTGTTTTGAAGGAGGAATGCTGCATGTGCAGCTTCACAAGGTGAACTAGTATCAGTCTTCAAGATATGAAGTCTCTCTCTTCCTCCCAGATATCAAAAGCCATCACAGCTTTTCAGCAAAAGTACCTACATGGACTGCCCCTGCCCCCCTTAGAGCAAGTTCTTTTGCTACTCACTGCATGAGCAAGTGGGAGTAAGGCTGAGAGGCAGACTGTCTCTTCTTATAGCAGTACCTCAATCAATAACTCACACGTTGTCCAAGGGCCCTACTGATGTCAATCTTTTTTTTTTTCTGTGTACTTAGAATGTCCCCAAGAGCCACCTGCATTTTTGCATTAAGCCTCTGTTATGCAACTTTTGTTTGTCTACCTTCAATCCAATCCCATCTGCTTCCTATTTTTCAAGGATTCTCATAATGCCTGGTCCACTGAGAGCACCCCTTTGTGTTTTTCGATATTAAGGTACATGCATGGATGCATATGAGTTTGTGTACCCATGTAACTTTTTTTGTAATTTTTACACTTGGGAAAGAGGGGAGGATTTGGGAGAGGCTAGAGGCTAGAACTTGCTCTCAGTTGGCCATTCTGATTCAATCTCAGTTAAATTTTTAAGTACATATTGAACTCTTTTAATACCAAACACAGACAGCTGCTTGTATCATATGATCTAATTTGGAAATCTTTGCCTCTGAAGTGATGTCATATTAAGCTATTTCAATTTAAGACATGGTTTCCATGTTAAAACTGGCATCTGCAGGACATGTGTGAATAAATTCCATTCTCCCTCATCAAAATTACCTTTTAGATTTTAATATTAGATCTCAAAAGAATTGAGAGTTCTGTATCATAGATTCCTACAAACATAACAACAGCAACAACAGAAAGAGTATTATTGCTCAACTATAAAAAAAATGAGGGGAAAAGTAACTATTTTAAAAAATTTGTTAAGTGCTAAAGTTAAAAATAAGATAAAGCAATTCAGAAAGATCCTGAGATGTTATTTCCTTGTACTCAACCCTAGAATTACTTCAATCAACAGACTCTTTTGCCAACACTAATAAATTCAGGAATAATTTATCATTGATTTACCTTGATTGTTACAGTGTAAATTCTAAATTTTTAAATCTAAAATAATCTCCAGGTGGTTGTACAATAGAAATTTTATATAAATAAATGCAATCCTGAAATAATATAAACTCTAAATATTCTTGAGTTAAACCCAAAGAGTTCACAAAACAATCTTTTGAAAAATATTTAATGCACATCTAATATGTCCTAGGTACTGTTCTAGGCATGGGACATATCAGTGAACAAAACAGACAAAATCCCCTGGTTTGTGGAGTTTATATCCTAGTCAATATATATAATTTGAATAACTTCAATTTGGCCCTTTCCTGCAGAAATTACTAATAAAGTAGATAAATGTTTTATGCCCAAACACAAATATACATATCTCTTATAGCAGTCCATCATACAATCATATGAAAATATGTTTGACTTCCAGCTATAAAATAAATAAGTCACAGAGACGAAAAGTATAGCATAGGGAATATAGTCAATAATATCGAAGGGGCGCCTGGGTGGTTCAGTTGGTTAAGCGGCTGCCTTCGGCTCAGGTCATGATCCCAAGCTCCTGGGATCCAGCCCGACGTTGGGATCCCTGCTCAGCGGGGAGCCTGCTTCTCCCTCTCCCTCTGCTGCCCCCCCTTCTTGTGCTCGCTCTCTCTCTGTCAAATAAATAAATAAATTCTTTAAAAAAATAATGATAGTATCATAATAATGTCGTTGGGTGACAGATGGTGATTACATTTACCATAGTGAGCATGGGGTAATACCTAGAATTGTTGAATCAATACGCTGTACACCTGAAACATTTATGTTACTCATGCTTCAATAAAAATTAAATCAATAAATATGTTTGAGAACATTTATAACACAGAAATACATTTAGCTACTAACTTTAAAACATTAGAAGTCAATACCTTGTCAGAAAATGTGAGAAAGGTCAAGGGTCCTAAAATTTATCTGCCTAACTTGGAAAAGGAGGTATTGGCTAGATTTTAGGTAAGTATACCAGATTTTAGACAACTCTTAACAGATCTCCATTTATATCTCTGAACTAAGCAACTGAAATAATCCAGATGTCGGACCTGTATGGCCTGAGGAAAACACTGGGTCTAGCGGGAGCAAGATTTTGATTATCCAGAGTTGTACTGTCCAATATGGTAGCTGCTAGTCACATGTAGTTATTCAACTTTGAATTACCTAAAAATTTTAAATTCAGCTCCTTAGTCACAGGAGCCACGTTTCCAGGGCGCAGTAGCCACGTAGAGCCGGTGGCTGCCATATTGAATGGTGTAGACAGAGAACGTTTCCAACACTGCAGGAAGACAGTGCTGCTCCAGAGAATCAGAAGAAAACGCCGCCATTCCTGGGAAAGACCAAAACTTCCCGAAAAGGGTTACAACAGGTGGCGATTATAACGGCAAAAAGATAAGTTTTCTTCTCTATCCCTTGGCTATTTCCATCCCTGCGTCTTATTTTCCCTTCAGCTCCTAGAAAATCTGTCTTCTCCTTTCCTTACTTTCTCTCCCTAGCTTCTCACATTTTTTCCTACCCCATTTCTCACCCCCTTCTCTATTGTCTCTAATAACAACTATGCAGTCCACAGTTAATGACTGCAGCATTTGAGGTTTATATTCTTTTATATTTCTCAACGTTAAAATTTAATCTTTCTCTTTCCAAAAAAATACAATATTTAGAGGGAGTTTTTTTTTTTCTTTTCTTTTCTTTTCTTTCTTTTTTTTAGGTGTATATGACCTTCTGTGTATTTTCCTCCCCGAGATAATTATCCTTCCTTAGAGTTTCTCACCTTTAGAATCCGGGGTGGAAAAGATAAGCAATTCTCGTTCCAGCCTCTGGGGTTTCCCTCTTGGAGGAAGGGCTCGGTCCTTGGGCCGCTACTCCCGCGCGGCACTCCGCTGCACCGCTCATTCCGCTGACCTTCTACTGTCACCTAGCGGAGAGAAGAGGCAAGAGCTCCTCCGCGAGTTTGGCCGTTACCAAGCGACGGAGGTGGTGCGCGGCCTGGCCTAAGGAGGAGGGCGCACACTAAAAGCCGCTGGAAAGAGTGTAACAACGCCGCTTTCTACTGGCTGGAGAGCTCTCAGCCATCGCCTTGAGCCAATGAGCAGATGCATGCGGATGACGTCAGACGAGATGCGACTCCTCCCATCCACTCTCTAGCGAAGCGCCTGGCGACCGCTGAAACCGGATTTGATCTCCTAGGGGTCTTGACTTCCCCATGTTCAGCTCGCCCCATGTGCACCTCGCAGCTCGCGCTACTGCAGGTGTTCTTCCTGATGGTCCCCGAGGGCATCTGGCCTCAGCCCTCTTTCTCCCCGTTAGGGGCTGTGCCCACCCCTTCGGACGTGGGGCCAGCGTCGCCGGGCGGGACCCTTGAGTCCTCCTCGGAGGGGTCTGAAGCTCCCTGGCCTGTGTCTGGGATCTCTACGGTGGGCCCTACGGTCCTGACACCCTCTGCACCTGGGAATGGGACCGTAGACCTCTTCCCAGGTGAGGAGAGGAGATGTGGGGATGGAAACCACTGACTTGGATCTTAAAATTCTTTGAGCAAAATGAATTTCCACAAAGTGAGGAGTGGGGCTATCGGAAGAGGGGAATTCGCGCTTGGAAGTTTGGGAATCCTCATCCCGTTCGCTCTGCTTTATCTTCATAGTCTTACCGATCTGTGTCTGTGACTTGACTCCTGGTACCTGCGACATAAATTGCTGCTGCGACAAGGACTGCTATCTTCTCCATCCGAGGACGGTTTTTTCCTTCTGCCTTCCCGGCAGCGTGAGGTGAGCTGCCGTGTGCCGGTTGAATCCTAAAAAAACTGGGACCCTAGAATAGGTCATATTTGGAAGTAGGAAGAGTTACCTTTCCTGCCTTCAGCCCCCACTTCCATTTCTGTAAGTGGAATTACCTTGGTTTTTCCCAGGAGTGAAGTTCCTCCTCAAATTCTCTAGAGCAAGGCAGTCCAGTAGAATAGGACTTTTGTGTTGGCCTGTGGCTGCCCAAGGAGGCCTCTCTTAGGCATTGACTGACATCCATGCAGCACCTTTTTGGACCTAACCCTCCGCTTCTAATCTGTTCTTCATCCTATTTCCTCTCAGGTCTTCAAGTTGGATGTGCGTGGACAACTCTCTTATCTTCAGGAGTAATTCCCCATTTCCTTCAAGAGTTTTCATGGATTCAAGTGGAATTAGGCAGTTTTGTGTCCATGTGAACAACTGTGAGTAGAAATGTGTTGGCTATTCTTGTTACCTAACATTTGTTGAAAGTTGGCTTTGTGTCTGAACTTTTGTTTTTAAACTTTTCTTTTGTCTGTTGAATTTCTATCATCTGCCCTTTTCTACCTCTCTACTTGCCCCCTCTCTCTTATTAGTGAACATTTGCAATTTCTTATGCCCTCTTGGCTGTGGAACAGCAAACCCATACAGAACTTTAATTTCAGTCATCCTTGTTAGCCGTAAGGAGATGGCTGCAGGAACTTGAATAGATTTCTATATTGTTATAATATAAATTATAGACTTATTAGAGAATATACCTCTTTGGAGTGTCTGAAAATTTAAATGTAGAAATTATGAAGTGAAAGGAGGGAAACATAACAAATTCATATACTTGAGAGATGGAAACATTATTATTAGGACTGGTCAGTTGAAGTTTAGAAGAAACAGGAAGGAGAGGACAAATTTAATGTTATCTTTAACTTTGCCATGTTCCAACAGAAACAGTACCATTTTATTGCGCTAGAGACTAATCTGGTATGGGGCAAATGTGAGCATTATTGAACCTCCTGTTTTCATCACAAATTGCTAATCACTCACATTCCTGGCATCAGGGACTTGGAACTGCCTGGCATTCATTGGCCATATTCTTACCTTAGATCTTAATAATAAAACAATAGTTCTTTTAACAGAATATACATGCAGTAGAAGGTGATAAAAATCAGAATTATTATCTTTAAAAGTGGAGTATTATTGATTGTGAGTCTTCTGGGAAAATGTTCTATAACGTAATCTGAGTAGTAGGAATAAAAGTATAGCAATGTGTAAAAATTTTTTTGAGTTTACACTTAAGATGAGTGCATTTACAAACTTTGCTGTGTATGTATTATGCCCCAATAAGAATACTTTTTAAAAGCGGTTACTTGGTGTGCCAGATATTTTTAAATAAATATTTTTCTTTTATCTAAACCCCTTATCTTTTAAAAAACATTTTAGCAAAATTAAACTATTTCCAGAAGCTCCAAAAGGTCAATGCAACCCACTTCGAGACCCTGGCTACAGAGTTTGGAGGTGGATCATTCACTTCAACATTCCAAACCCAGTTGCCACCACCTCATTACAGGGTGAGCCTGGGGATAGGGATGGGATTGTTTGGTGTGGTTTTTCCCTCATGGCTGACAGTTGACCAGGTATCTTTAAGGTACACCCCTGCAACTGGGTCAACCACTGTCAAGCTCTTTTAGAAGACAGTATTACGCACATTCACAAGCCCTTGAGTTAATTTTTGTTCCTACTTTTTCTTTGCTGGTGGAGTTCAGTCCAATCTCACTTTGAATAAATTTCTACTATACTTTGTTCAGGCTGGGGACCCCATTTTGACTTACTTCCCCAAGTGGTCTGTAATCAGCTTGCTGAGGCAGCCTGCGGGAGTTGGAGCTGGGGGGCTCTGTGCCGAGAGCAATCCTGCAGGTGAGTCCAAAACAGAAGTGCCAACGTTTTTGTTCCATTTAAAATAGGCTTTCTGGGGCGCCTGGGTGGCTCAGTCATTAAGCGTCTGCCTTTGGCTCAGGTCATGATCCCAGGGTTCTGTGATGGAGCCCCACATCAGGCTCCCTGCTCCGCGGGAAGCCTGCTTCTCCCTCTCCCACTCCCCCTGTTTGTGTTCCCTCTCTTGCTGTGTCTCTCTGTCAAATAAATAAATAAAATCTTTTTAAAAAAAATTAAAATGGGCTTTCTTAGAAATCACTTTAAAAAAACCTAAAAAAAATTGTTTTTCACAAAAATAAAATGGGCTTTTTCTTTTATCACTCCCTTAATTCTTTGTGTTCTAAGGTTTCCTGGAGAGTAAAAGTACAACCTGTGCTCGTTTCTTCAAGAACCTGACAAGTAGCTGCACCTTGGATCCAGCCCTCAATGCTGCCTCTTACTATAACTTCTCAGTCTTGAAGGTGGTATCCCTTCCCTCTCCACTGTCACTGTTGTGGATATGAAGTCAGCATGCTTCCTGCTATTGGGTTGTGGATAAAGCACTGAACTGAAAGTCAGAATGCCTAAGAACTACATAAAAAGCAGAGGGCCCAGAAACCCTACCCTCTGAAGAAAGATGAAAGAGTTGGGGGATATATCCAGGATAAGAGATTCTACCCTCCTGGATAATGGGATTGGCTTGGGAGGGTGGCAAGGGATGACATTTCACTATCTCACCAAAACCTCTTGCTTTTGCTGTTCAGTAGAGCTCTGCACAGAGTAGGTGTGTCATAGCCCAACCTCTCCTCAGCTTTACTCATAGCATTTTAGTATAAAGAAGAGTCAGGTAGAAGAGAAAAATCATTCTAATATGTTGATTTTTTCCTCCCCACACGCGAAACCACAAGCTCCTGGAGATTTTCTCTGAGGTGTATGCACACTCACGGTTCTTGCTATTCTCTTTTTCTAGGTTCCAAAAGGTATGACTGATCTGCAGAATATGAAGGTATGACATTGTTTATCACGGAAAAGGAAGGAGACTATTTGGTCCCTTTGCATCTGAGGCAATTTCAATCTAGACTGTAATTGTGAAAGGAAATGTATGTGTGATGTATCAAACTCTTAAGTGTGAATCTAAAACATTGTTTTCCCGTGTATGTTCTATATGATTAATAAGCATCACATGAAATACGAATTCATAAGGTGTTAGATAAGTTTGGGAAACGTTGGGTGAAGTAAAGTTAAATACTATATTTAGAGTGGACTTCTTAGAGTCTTTAATGTTCTAAAGGGACTTGGTACTCTCTAAGAGGGGAATACCAAATATAATATTTCTAAAATTTATTTGGGGGCACCTTGCTGGTTCAGTAGAGCTTGCAACTCTTGATCTTGGGGTTGTGAGTTCAAGCCCCGCACTGGGTGTAGAGATTACTTAAAGGAAATAAAAACTTAAAAAAAAAAAAAAAAACACAAAAATTTGTAAAATTTATTTGACCACGGAACCTTTATTTTATATCTAGTGGAATTAATGTTCTGAGAAATATGTTTTGAGAAGTGCTGATTTAAAATGATTTTTGATCTTAAGTTGTAGGCTGGCAATGGAAGGAAAGAGGAAGGTGTCAAAAATGAAAAATACTCATTTCAGCATAATACGTAGCTAGAAGAGAAAATACTGCTTTCATTTCAGTTGATTTGCTTCTTTCCCTTGCTAGTTCCAGGTTCCTGTAACTCTTATCTCACAAGCTGGTTCTCCTCTCTTGTCTGGAAACACTTGTCAGAATGTGGTTTACCAGGTGAGGACGGTGACCTCAAATTCTGGACTGATGTTTGTTGATCAACATTACCAAAGGTGCCTCATCTTCCATTAAGTACCAGACCAACCCCACATGAATTTTTGTGCATGGAACTTAACATGTCAAGAATTGAGCCCATCACCTTTCTCCCTACCATATTTCAGTTTCCATTACTACCATCCTCTAGTATTTCATGTACAAAAGATTACAGTTACTTCTGACTCCTCTTTCTTTACCCACTTGTGGTTTATTATAGTTCTTACCACATTTTCTTCTGTTGACAAAATCAGTATCATCTGAAAATCTAAAATAGAAGAGTCAACTTCTTTTCCTCCATTCTCCCTTTTGATCACCCTACAGAAGGAAGAATTGTCTTAAACATCATTGTAAAGACTGCTCAGAAATCTAAGGTTACCTTCAATTGCTTATGAATTCCATCTCCAGCTATTATCTTCATTCATCCTCAGACATTGGGAGAGCCAAGTAAACCGGGTGTCCATTCCGTGCTCCTTCTCTACTCACGTC